TTCCGTTGTTTTCTTTAATTATTTGACTTCTACTGTTTTACCTCAACACAACACCCTTGCGTTATTTTCTTAAGAAAATGTGGCTTGAGAACGATCTCGCCGAAAACAGGTTCTGATTACTTTGGTTTTTTTTTCACCCGAAGTTGGATAATCTAGTTTGATCACTTCCAGATTTCCTCGTTGTTCGGGGTCCAAGCTTACAGCCTCTTTTGAAAAGTGTCTTATGGCTTGCCTCAGTCATTCGTTTGATCCTATAAACTCAAGTGGTGAAACACACTCCCTAATTTTCCTGCACCCTTCGCAGGATTCACCTCTTCTGCTTCTCACCACACAAGTTGATAATAAAATGAACATGCTCTTCAGATATGCGCGTCTTTCGTGTATAGAACTTTTAGACACCGTCTGCGTTTTGGATTTTTTTGTGAACTTCGATTACCTTCATTTTTTGATGCATTTTATTTACAGAATCTTTTCGGGGAAAAATGGCTGTTCCAGAGAAAACTCTGGAGGCCACTGTTGATTTCAAGTTGTTTCCCATTGAAAACATCAGTGAGGAATGTTTGATTAAAAAGAAGCGCGATTATATGGAACTCTTAAGTCCTTGGATTCTAAGCTATCCTTGGTGCAAAGAAAGTTTCTCAATTATGCCCCCATGCTCCCGTAAGTTATATTTCCACCTAACCACATTCTCATCACAGAAAATACGCGTATGCACCTATTCGGTCGTGTGGATTTCGGGGAGAGTATCGATGATGAGTGGTTCATTGTATGGTTGCNATTTCAAATCAGTCAAAATGATCCGTCAGTGGTGATTCAGTAAGCCATTTTCTTGTAAAACTATTTTCCTCTTCTTCAGAGTGCATGATGAAGATGGTCAATTTCTTCTGATTGAAGCGGCGGACGAATTGCCCGAATGGTTATCACCGGACAATGCGGAGAATAGAGTGAGAACAATTGGTAAAAGTTTATCCGTTTTTTCAGGTTTGGATCCACAGGGGCTTGGTGTGTATTATTCAACGGGATTTGTCAAAACAGTTGTCCGTTATTGATGCTCTTAATCTGTTTGCATCCAACCCAAAGGACAACAGCGCGTTTTTTACCTCGGATGGACTCCAGTTGGCAATTGCTAAGCGTATTCATGGGTAAGCTCTGCGGGCCAACCAAAACATTATTGGTGTTCGGCTCAGGATGATCTGTTTTGAGTGTTTTGTGCTTTCCGCTTTCTCTCATCTACTCTGTTTTATCATTATAATGTGACTTATTCGATGTCAATCTTCGCTTCGCTAAACGGATGACTCTGATGCTTGGGTTAGCCCATTCTATGTATGCGGTTACCAGACACCGACTGCATCTGTTGAAAGTGCTCACTTGTTCTATCAATCGATTGGTAGTTCTAATCATAAGAACATACACACGGAGTAATAAAACAACAGAAGTTGCCCGAAGTTGTGTACTTCAAATGTTTGGCATGCTCAGTGCATTTCTTTCTTGCCTCCGTCCTACAAGCTGCCTCCTCTCGTTCTATAAAATTAGATATATATTCATCCATTTGAGGAAAGTCGCTGCCCCTTGGTAGGGACCAGCTGTGAAAAAATATTCTTGCATTTCGGTTTGCTGAACAGCCTAGTTTTCACTCGCGGTTTCTTTGCATCAAAAATTTATCGCAAATGATATTGAGATGCCACTCCTACTACTGACGGAAATATCGGAAATATCCAAAAGCACAAACTGACAATTTATTCAAAAACCTACTAGGCTTAATGGCTCCAGGATTAGTTCAGTAACCGGTGAACTGATGACCCAACCACCCTTGCCGTTCTATGCAAACCATCTCCAGCTTGTGTGTTCCCATCATTCTCAGTTCTAACGTTCGATCTCTTATCGG